AAGTATGGTCAAAAAGCCAACTTTGACATAATAAGTACGAAATTGGTGATAATATACTCGCAGTGTGTCATTTTATAAGTTACAAATGTGTGCATAAGCAAACTTACGATTCCGCATAAATTATGTAAACATTTAGAAACACGTGACACAACAGCGCCATTTTGAAATTTCGGAGCAGGCCTTTTTCTGAGGGAGAGTGGACGTTGGTGCTCTTGTGATCGTCTGTGGAGAATTTCCTTCTCGTCCCAGCTCAGAGAGGAGGGAAAAGGTAGTCATGGTCTAAAATATAAGTAACGTGATTTGCCGAGAAGGTTGTTGTGTACCATATTTTGCGGAGATTTTGACTACTAGCTGGTGACAGCAAAAAATTAGCTAGCAAGGAGGTTCGGTGACAGTTCGCGCACTCGCCAGATTTTTTTGCGCACGTGTGTAGGATTTTTTCCTCGTATGATTTGTGCCATATTCGTTGGGCTTACAGACGCTAAGCAAGGAACGTAGAGGCAGGCCCGGCTACCCCATACTGCCTCTATGTTCCTTGTGCATGTGTGCCTGTGTGTGTGTAACGTGTGGAGGCATCAGCCATCTTGCAACCGCCAAGCCAAGATAATCTTTTCGTGGTGGATGAGTGTTTTCTTTTTCTTCTTGTCTAGGAAAGATGAGCATAAGCAGCACAGCAGACGCTGTGGGCAGGATGAGATTGGATGACGGTGAGCTTATATCTCTTTATACACATTTATAAATTATCAGTTTTGCACGTGTTTCTTTGTTGATCAAATTTTTAATTGAAAATGAAAATTTCTAAAGGGGCCAAGTCTACAGAAAATGCATTAAATCTATCCTGGGTGCCAGATAGCCGTGGACGACTCTGGTACCCTTTTTGCATGATAATGCCGGGACAGAGTCGTGGTGCAATGCATAGGCCAAAACCAACCTTTGCCGTGCCGGGCCTCATGCAACAGGCCGGCCCCGGTTTTTTGGTGTCGCTGGCTTCCTAACGCACTCACCTGCCGGGCCGGGGGGATGAGACCCTAAACAAACGCAGCATTTAACCACAACACGGCCTCGGAGCACGTAACTCCATACAAACCATCGGCGATCGGCGCCATTTTGAATTCAGGAATA